TACTATGATGGAGAGGGGGGACCCCAGAGGAGGGGGGTGGGGGTAATGTAAAACACAGAATCCAGTTGGTCTCGCCTAACTTATATAATGTTATTAATGGTGATTTACATAGCAGTGATATAAAAAAAATTTTTTTTCCTATAAATTTCAAGTTGAATTTAAAAATTAATAGCCAATAAAATTTGTCAAACGAACGAAGAATTCCAGAAATTCCTGTATTTTACAATAGATTCTATGTACTGCCGGTAATATTTATAATGATTTATAAATGTTTATACTATATTGGAGATTTAAACTTTGCAAAATCTGTCAACAGATAATTAGGCACAAATCTCAGAAGAACTTCCAATACGACACGCAATTATTTTTTTTGATCCAGGTATCCGGATAGTATGGTATGCCAATGACCCGGTTATCAGGTGTATTTACGGGTTAATCTTAAATGATTTCTATTTATTCATTCACGTGAATATATAATGAACTTTAAAAAAAGATTTTCATTATTAACTTCAAAAAAAAAAAAGATTCATGTTAGCAATTAACGTTAATACAGTCAGACCTCTCTAAATGTACCCCTAAAAGTCACAATTTATATAGTACTCGTAGATTTTTACCTCCCTAAATGCAATACCTCTCTAAATGCAAAATTTTCGAATTTTTTCATGTAGGCCCCTTGGCTATGCATTTAGAAAGGGTTGTCTGTAATGTCTTTTTTTTTTTTTTAGCCAGCGACTTTTCTGGAAACTCAAACGAATAATATAAAGTCTTTATACATAAGCATAAAAAAAAAGGTATATATATATATATATAATAATAATAATAATAAAGAAATATAAACTGTGCTAGGTTATGCATGTCGCCGATCATCAACTATTGTCTAAGTACCCAAGCCGTGATGAAAATTTTCAAACTTTGAGCGAAAATATAAATCTTTATTTTAGTTCTATGAACCAATAGAATTAAAATAAAAAAAACTTTTTATCAATTTTTGATAAGTAAAGTTTGAAAAGACTTAGTCGCGATCTTAGTTTTGATAATCGCCCAAATTTATTTTGGATAACTACCTATCTAAAATCGATGGATTTTTTTTATTTTAAATTATATATATATATATATATATAGAATTAAAGCAAAATATTTTTATCGAAATTTAAATATGTAACTATTGAGATATCATCGCTTAAAGTTCAAAAAAAATTTTGGCGATTATCAAAACAAAGACCGCGGCTAAGTTTTTCCAAACTTCAAGCGATGATATCTCAATAATTACCTATCTAAATTCGATGAAAAAAATTTTTTTATTATAATTTTATTGTTTCATATAGTTAAAATAAAAAATTTATATCGACTTTAAACAAGTAGTTATTTAGATATTTTTGCTCAAAGTTGAAGATTTTTGTCAACATGCATAACCTAGCACAGATTTTTTAAATGCAGATTTCGGATCAGGCGAACTCAATATCTGGGCAATAGGTATTATTTGTTCACGTCCACTTAATTAAAACCTAAATGCTATTAAAAAAACTACTTTGAAATTTTTTAAGTAATTAATATTTAAAATATTAAATATAGTATTTAGTATTTTAAAAATTATATTTAATTTGCCTTGCGAAACCGAGAACTAGCTGTTAGCCAAACCGAACCAGCTGTTTACAGTTCGAAATTTCAGACACAAATATTGTTCTCATGAGAACAGCACAATAGTTATAGGTGTTCTCGGATTATTGTTTTATGTTCATAAAAAAAAAAAACTAACCAACCAACAGAGCCCTCGGATTTTTGTAGCGCTATTTTTTAGCAAAATAGCTAGCAACAATAGTCTTGTGCTAAGATGCAAAATTGCTACTTTTGCACTAAACATGTGATTATTACTTTGTTCTTGAACTGATTTACATGAACGAATAATTATATGCATATTTTAGATGATGACCGAAGAACTCACAGAAATGATAGATAAAGAACTCGCAGAAGAAACATATGATTACATTAAAATTTATATTTAATAAATATAAATTTATAATAAGCTATTTTGCTAAATTTGCCAATTTCACTAGCTATTTTTGCTAACTATTTTTGCTATCAACGTCCGGACGCCCTGCCAACCAACAATGCAACAATATACATATATTAGAAATACTACAATGATAGTAAACTTTCGATTATTTACTGTTTAATTTATGAATTTAATAATATTGTTGTTAGGTAAATATATCCATTTCTGGTTTGACGTGATAGCTACGTACAATATTTTTATTTTACTATTCTCAAAAAATTAAAAAACTAATTTGTTTGATTTATTCATCGTTAATTAAAAAACACTTTTAAAAAAATCACTATTGACAACATCTACACATATGCTTGTTATAAAAAAATTATTTTTAAATTCAAGCTCTCTACTGTTCAATGCTATTCTTTTTGGACCTATATCAAAAAATAATAAATTTGTTTTTAAAATAGTCAAATATACAGGCCGATAACATTTATGTTGAGAACATAAAATGAATATATGCACTTTTGATATAATATAAATGATGTAAAATTATGCGATTTGTTTAGTCACACTAAATTGCATAATTTCCGTGTCCCTGATCTATACTGTGTACAAATTTATAATCGTGTTCTAAATAATTTATTTTAGCTCCGGACAGTGACCTAAAATGGTAATGTTTATTTTTTTTTATTTTTATTAATTTTGTGATACGCCGAGGATGGAATTGGGTCTAAAATTTGGTTCTCTGGATTTAACAATTGCAATATGCATAACGATAATAGGTGAAGGTCTGGATCTGTCATATAATCACATTGTTAAAATTTATAGACTCTAATTTAGACCTAATTCCGCAAATTCGCCGATATTATAGTAACTATTTCTTAATTTTATTGTAATCGTACTTATCTTAATACGTAAATAAAACAAATCAAACTGTTCCTCGTAAAATATATAAATATTAATCCGATTCAAAAAAAGGAAAATTAATAACAATTCATATTAACAATCATTACATTATTCGGATGTTACGGATTTGTGACACAAGTTAAAATGTTTGTTTGTCGGGACAAATTATATCTGTATTTTAGTGTAACAAACATCAAATAAACCTTTTATATATTTTAGTATTAGTTTTCGGAGATAATAATTAAATGAAAATTTTTAATATCGAAGAAATTAATGATTTTAGAATGTAACGGGCTCGATGAAAATGCTTAATTACGTAAGAGAAAATAATATTGGTCAATCGTTACTATATATCGAATCTTCTACAGCAGTTAGAATTGGAATTCGTAGAGAGAGGCTAAATGTTTCTGTCATCAAGAGCTTTTCTCTTTAATGCGTTACTAATATTATTGATTATTGATTCTTCGAACACGCATGCATATACACAATGTAAATATTTATTAAAACATTGCTTAATCTTATATTGCCTTGAGGGTTTTAATACTTCCCCCGTCTGAGGGTTATCCAAAATAAGAAATTACGAAAGAACCCATTTTTAGCATTCATTTATCGTGAGATGTGTTACAATCCACTCGGATTATTAAAAATCAATTAATCAAGCTCCCCTAAATGATGTACGATTTAAAATTTAGTTTTAAATTGATTTTGAATTTGACACAACATTAACTTACGCCTATAACATGCCACGCGTGCGTGTGTATTAATACTTACGTACACATAGAAGAATACATGGTCATATATTATCAAATTATTACTATTATCAGTATCAATAAATTTTGGTGTTTCTATAATAATAAAGAGTTCCGTAAATCGACAATAGTAAGATAAAATCGTTATTGCTACATAAGTACTGTAATATAAGCAATCATTACAGTATTTTTCCAATTGTTCGGTAATTCAGCCTCAGCCGTCATGTTGTATAGATCCATGGCATTGATTATAATTATCAATGCATAATATAGATATTAAATAACTATTAAAGAACTACGTGTATACGTGTGTACCCTTAAGAACCATTGTTGGAATTTTTTAAGTAGCAATTTCTAATAAAAATTTCAAGGACCAATTAAAAAATCGGCGAAATTTGTTTTAGCCATCAGTAACTTTATAATTTTAGTCTCAACATGGTTTGTAATACTTGGAATATATTGAGAAGATATTAAGAATTGCACAACCGAAGAGAATTGTTTATTTTATGTGTTCCAAACGTTTACATGCATGCATCATATTGCCCGCCAATTCATTGAAAATTCATTGAAAAGGGTTCAAACTTAACCTAACAAATTCCATCCCCTCTCATTTCTTCGCGGGCATTGCATATTTACTTAACGCCCATTATCGAGTCAACTTAAATTTCTCCCTTTATGAACCTTTTCTTTATTATCCGATAATTTGGCTAAATTCGATCATCGAGCATATACCACATAACCTCGATTCTCGTGAATTTAATTGACTAGTTTACGAAATCTCTACATAATTACTTTTCTTTCAAAAAAAAATTAAAAAAAATTTATATTAATGGTTCAATTGGTCAATAGGTTCACTTTAGCCTGTTTAGACTCGACAAATCTAGATGAAAAAAATGACACATTACTGCAATGTACTTGCGATTTCCGCATTAATTTAAGCAATTGTTCCGATTCTTTTATTTTACGAACGGGAAGTTGGATTCTTATCTTTCATGCTATATTAATTTCTGTCATCTCTGCTTGGTTCCTTTGGTACCGAATTTATTGCCAAGGTCAATCCTTTTTTTTTTCTAAATCACGCGATCGTGGTATCTTACGATCAAGGCCACATGATGCATTTCATCTTGTAACAATTTCTTCCAATATACGTAGGTTAAACTTTCAACATTTAATTATTAAATCCAACAAAATGTTATATTCATGATTTTTTTTTTTTTTGACCTTAGTACAAGTTATAGATACATTATGTTTATTATATGATTGTATGCCAAATGTTATTTTGGCTGAAAGTATGTTTTTTTTATGATTATATTGTAATATTTAACCCAAAGATTTTGAGATTAACTAACCTTCATTTTTGCTTTAAGTATTGGCAGATTTGCCACGACAAGTATCCTTTGCATTTTCAGTACTATATCTTGTCGGAATCAGTATGTGTGTTTTACCTGATTATTTGTCAATATTATATTTCGAATCAAATTTGTGTAAATCCATTAAAATATTTTCATTCCAGTTTATTCGATTCCTGTCTTAACACCGACAAACGTTTCGTATCCGAATAATTTTGTTCCAAACAAACATTTTGTCGACATTGTAGCATTCTGTTTAATTTTAGGGCCTTTCATTATAAACACTCCAATTTCTTATATGACAGGCCTTTATGCAGAAAGCAATCCCATAACTGCTAATAAATTGTTTGAGGTCCATTTTATCATTTGGTCTGTCTGGGTTTCGGTGTATTTAGTGACTTTGCTATTTTTTTGGCACAAATTATTTGGTCTTTTAAAATATCACATGGCTGATTTGAAGCAACGACCAAAAGGTGAAACCGCGATACAACAGAAATTGGAAACAGTACAAGTCGCTTCTACTAATGTGAGTTGGGATATTTTAAAAGCTATTACGGATCTCTTAATGAATTATTCTTGTAATCCTATTTTTTTTTTTTAGCTTTCAACTGTTGCAACAGTCTTTGTCATTTGGGGTTCTCTTTTTGTGCTCGTATCTTTTACATTTGGTGTCACCTACAAAACTTTTACAGCCAATAATGAAACTATAAATATTTTATATTTTATCGCTTTAAATGTTTTCGAACCATTTTGTTTTCAAATCTCGCAATTCATTATAATATACAAGTAAGGTTACAAATTTATTTACTTACATTATAAACGCTTCTCTAAATTTTGGTTTTTTGTTCATTTTTTAGCGCAACAAAGACAACACCACATAATGCACAATTTGGTCGAACGTTCAGCGTGTTAAAAACTTCAAATCACCCATACAGAGCATCAAATTCGAGATTATCGAAATTATCATCATCGAGAACATCGAGAACATCGAGAATATCAAGTTCGAAAATAGAACACGGCATGACACAACCTGTGTCCTTGGTTCCTAGGGCACATCTATTATCTCCACCAGGAGATCGTTCTAGTTCTATGAGTCGCACAAGCTCAAGATCCATAAATAGCACTTTCTCAAAAATCAATTTTGAATTGAACAACACGAGTTCGTCAAACAAATCAAAAAATCTAAATGAAACTCTCGATATGATAAGCAATGAATCTACATCGTATTATTCTATCGGAGAAAACCTTGCAGCATCAAGTCGAGGAAATTCTTTTATTGATTCCAATTCAAAAGAAATTAATAGCCAAAGATCGAGTTCCCAACTTTCTGGCCATGGAAATTATTCTGATTCTTCTTCATTACCCTTAAAACCTCAACGTTTAAGTAACACTAATTTATTAATACCCATAGACTGAAGTAATGAATTATATTAACAAAAAAAAAATATTGTATACATTCTTTTTCTGCATGAAAAAAGGACGATAAACAATTATTTAATAAATAACACTTAAATTTTATATATGTGATTTTCGTTGCTCGGTTTACGACGAAATTCCACACTTACGTAACCGTACAAAAAAATTGGATAAAGCTATGCTAATTTGCAAGGGACTTTACTATCATGAATTACTTATTGTAAAAGCTCTGTTACTGAACCTGCTATTCTGGCGACTACAGTGTGGTTAAAGTCCGTTAGTTGCATTGAATTATACCTACGATTTATGGTAAAAATTCTGTAAACTTACATACATACGGTGGTTCGGAAAGCCATTTTCTCAAAAGGACATAATACCGACCAAATTGGCCATCATTGTAACTATGCTAGCTAACTTTGTTGTTATTATGTCTTTTTCTGGAATCCGTTTTTCAGGATTTCAGTAAGGTTTGTTAGTTTTATACCAAAATTATCATTATTTCTATCGTAAGTTACGGTAAAAATTCTGTTACAAACTTATTAGTTATTGTGGTGGCCACAGTATGTAGTTAAGGTTAGCTTGTATTGAAATTATCTCTTTTTATCGCGAGTTATTGTAAAAATTCTGTTACAAAACTTACTATTCTTGTTACCTGCGGGTTAACCTAACATCAAAAGACAGGTAATCATGATAACACACGAAAGTTGATTTTTAAAAATCATAAATAAATGACAATGTAGCTACGCTAATATTACGCAGAAGACTTCGAACATCATAGTTAAGACGTAACTAGTTTATTCTGCACTTGAATTGCAAATGCATTGATAGTATTACGCAGAAGGCTGCGAACATTATAGTTAAGACGTAACTAGTTGTTTCTGCACTTGATTTGCAATGCATAATTAATCATAGATCGATTACGAATCTTACGAATCATGACGACATTTACCGGTTTGACAATCAGAATGCTGTTATAATTACTCAAATTATAATTGGGATGTTATTGGCTTTAACCATAGATTTAAGCCAAGCCTAACAAAGCTAAGCTGAACTAACAGCTTGAGCTATAACCCAAGCTATGACTTTAAATCACGGCTTAATTAACTTACATGTAAGTTTACTGTAACTTAGCTTACTATTACTTACGTAAATTACTGTAAATTATACATGTAGGTTACTGTAACCCAATGTTGTAAAATTACGGTAATTTATTGTTAGTTACCAAAATGGTAAGTTACTGGTAAGTTACTGTAAGTTACTGTGAAAGAATCTACTATTACGAAATTTTCTGATAATGTACGGACTTTCAAATGAGTATTTGGTATCCTACCATGGTAACTTACGGTA